CCTCCCTTGTTCGTATTGTAATGCATGGCTCTAGTGGAATGGCTCGTTGTTGCAAAAAGGCTCCCACCTTTCCAAGCTTGGATGCAAAGTCAGACGATGGTGAGCTGTTGCACCGAAAGAGGCTCCTCCTGGGCTCTGCTTGGCATGGTCCGGCCTCCCGTTCCTGAGAGGTGTCGCCACTCGCTGGGGATGCAGTGCGAGGTGAATCACGGTTTCATTGACACACAACGTCATCCGGCGCTTCCCAATGACGCCATTGTCCTGGACAGTAGACTGCACTGCGGAAAGGCGCCAGGATGGGACTAGAACAATATGAATCACATAGCACTGATTGCCCTATTGGTGCGCGGTTTTCTGCAGTTTGTACAAAGACGGGGACGGGCGTTTCGGGCCAATGACACCTTTCTGGTACTTGCAGGCGGGGATCACAGCATTTTGTGCTTGAGCTTCTAAACTGAAGCTGTTTGATGGTTGGAGACCTTCCGCAGAGACACAAATCTTGTTTTCGTCCTTGCTCGTTCGTCCCCCTCATGCTCCACAATTTGGACACCGTTACTCGTGTAATCGACGACCTCGACTAAAATCGACAAGTGAAACGGGAGGCAAACCTTTGGGACTGCGTGTATCCCTGCAGTGCGGAGAAGAGCTGTCCCAAAGAATACGCTGCCGGTTTAACCGCCGACATCCAAGAAGACGTCATAAGAGAGATTGCGGGTATGTTGAGCAGAGTCGCGGGTGATCATCTCCTCCCTGGAGGTTTGCGGCCTTCGGACTGCGCGTGCCTTCGGGATCAGCAACCCAAGGCCACGGCCTGCGAACGGGTCAAACAAGCAGAGCAACCGCTTCCTTTCAACACCGACAGCACACCTTGTGTTGCCGAAGGCACCTGCCCGCCAATGAACGCGTCGGTGTCGATCATGCCAGGCTCCTCGTTGAGGCGAGAAGACTCCCCTGCTCTGCGTTCAAGACAGCGACAAACGTCGGCGTCGATCAACCGCGTGGAACTGGGGAAGCAGGACGAACTAAAACAATCACAGAACTAACAGCGCGCCCGCAGAAAACCCCGGCGGCACCGCCAGCCGGGGGCGCGATCCCGCCCACGCGCGTCAAGCCTCGGGCCTTCGATGCCCATCTTCCAGTCCCCCCCACCCATGTTTGGCCTCCTTTGCCGACCCATAGTGCCAATCCCCGGCTTCCCAGCACACTTACTGCGTACATCCGCGGCGCTCATTCCGAGACCGGCCGGTCGCGCCGTGCGTTAGGACCGATGGCGACGGCACTCTCGCGGCGGTCACCTGCCCTCCTCGCCCACGTCCACGCAGGTCTCCTCCGCGGACGACGTGGCCAGCAGCCGCTTGCTCATCTCCCCCTCCGCCCTCTGGATGACGATCCTGGTAGGGCCCATCGAGGGGCACGACGCCCGGGCTGGGGCTCAGGAGTCAGGGGGGTGAATCTGCCCCGCGACCTTTGTTTTCGCGCCAAGCCCGCATAGGCGGGCGGCGCGGCGCAGGTGGCTCCCGCACGGCCGAACGCGGGAGGGCGTGGAAGGGCCCCAGGCGCGCGTCTGACGGTTTTGACCGCAGTCACGAGCAGGGCCCAGTCCAGTGTCCTGTCCAGCGACTGGCTCCCCGCGCCAGAATCTTCAGACGAGTCCGGGATCAACAAGATCATGTCGTAATGGCACTGTTGTAACCAGAACTGATTGAGTGTTATTATTGGCTGGACGCACTAGGAGGTGGTGAGACAATAGGAACTGAATTCAGGACACTGATGAACGGATCTAGAAGATCTAAAGGACGGAATTTTTATTGTCCCTTGGCTCCGCTGTAAAGCTGTGCTGTGTCTTCGAGCCTACTGGCCCCAGCCAGGGGTCGCCACACCTCGCATGCACACCTGCATGCATTCGTCAGTACGATGATCGATTGGTTTGATCGAGTCTGGACCATTGAGGGTTCCGTGCAATGGGTGGGTGGAGCGGCCCCCAAATCTGTTGGCCACCGTGGCAAGGTGACCGTGTCCGTCTTGCCGAGCCCAGGCGGTTCACAGACGCCAAATTGTCATGATGTGAGGGGCTTCCACCTTACGGCAGCCAATGAAAAACACACAAATTTGACCTTTAAAGGTCAAGAGCTCGTGGATTCTGGATTTGTTGCTAAAATATGATATTGTACCTGTTGTGTCCAAGGTAATACTTGATTCTCATGAGAAAACTCCTCGACCGTTCGTCCTCTGGTGCAATAAGCATCTGAAGGCTGCCTTGTTCTCTTGCACGGTCATCTCTCTTGAAATGAACCTGTGCGTGTTGCTCACGGTTTTGCTCTTGTCTTTGGTTTGAAGATGGCGATTTTGGAGGTGTCTATCGTGCTGATGCATGTCTGACGCTAAGGGGGACGCCGGGGAGATATCCCGATGGCTTCAATCCGCGGCCGCTGGTCCAGTATCATTTCAGGCTGCTCCTGAGTTTCCGTAGTCATGGTGCATGGTTTTACTGTAAGCCCAGGCCATGCTTAGGACGAATAATAGGCGCCCAAGGAGGGCGAGTGAATTTCCTGGCCCTTGGGGATGTCGGGCTTTTCTGGGGCCCAAGTTTTGTGTGTTTCTCCCGCCCAGCCTCTCCTGTTTTCAGTGCAGTATTCGTCTTGTTGTAAGATGAGGGGTCGTCAACTGCCGGACATTTGAGATAATTCAGAGCTGGGTCAGAATTTAAATCATCAGCTGCTGCGATGCGTGAAGCCACTGTTGGAATCACAGATCTGCAAGTTCTCGTGCAGGTAAGCGGACGAAAGCGAGTGTATTTGGAGGCTTGACTCTCTGCTCTCCGGGGCGGACGGACAGCTGGCCCACCAATACGCCATTAGCTCTCGTGGTACTGACGGTCACAGATCCGTGACGGATCAGCTCCGGAGCTGATCTTCGCATGTCCCTGCCCCTAGTCCACACTTTGTTATGGATTCATCCGCAACTCTGCGGACCGAGCGTCCAGAACCGAGGCGGCGCCGCCTTCTGTTTGTGTCGCAAATGCAACCTGTTCTCCCATGATGTTTCTGTCAGCACTGCCCGACATCGCCGGATTGGTGAAGCGGCTTGGTTTGCCATGTTTCAGCAAGTGTGAACATTCTAAACAACCAAGCGGGCACCTCGAATGGTGCTATTGAACAGTGGCGGCGCCATTTAGTTCTGACTCCAAGGCCTCATAGTTCCGGAAACGCGTGTACGTGTCCGAAACGCGCATACAATTACATAATTGCGTCCAAGGACACCAGTCAGGCAGAAATGAGAATCGTTGGCATTCCGGTTGTGAGTTTGTGCGCGCCATCGCCTTTGCTGGTGAGGGGCAGTGGCGCATCCACTTTTCGACCTAGATCATGCAACGATTTACTCGAGCTCATTGGGAAGGCTCCAAGCTGCTTCTTTTGAAGGGGATGCATTGCACGAATCCTGTGGAGGAGGGTGCAGCCACGGTATTCACGGACATGTGCCAAGGGTGGGGCCATATGCATTCGCCTGAATCGAGACACATGCCAATCCTCATTGCACGCAGAGAATGTGGACGCCGCGCTGTGCAGCAAGTCGGTGAGCGGGGGTGGCAAAAGGGCATGGATACGTAGGGCCTCGCCGCTTGCAATTATTAGCCATGGCGATGCTCATCCATTGCACATTGTGCGCGGTGCCGGGCAGTTGTGGACGCTGTTACCTCCTAATTCCATATTGTACCGACAAATTTAGCTCCAGTTGTATTTCCAGTTCAACCGACACATCGTCCTCGTTGGTGTATGTCCCATGTAGATGCTTAGTGAAAACCAACGGCATGATCAATGGCATCATTGTATTGGGTTGTCGTACACCTATTCCACCTGCATTGGCAGGTATGTGTCGCAGGTATGCATGCAATAGGAGTCCAAACACCTGAATGGGCAGGCGCAATAGGATGGGTCCTTTTGAAGTCAAGGATGAATATAGGCAGGAATGGAAGTGCATATATCCAAACCAGAAGATACGTTGAACGAGCGGGGTTGATTACCAGACGCAAAACACCAACTGAAACAAGAGCTTTGAAACGAACGTGGTGGCGCTTTCACCCTACCACGATAAAGGGCGCCGCTTGGACGATATTGCCACACTCTACGGTAAAGAACGTTCCCTGACAATGCCGTTACAACATCATTGCCCGTGCTTAGATGGGGATATATCGAAGCCCTGACCTCACGCCCCATCGATGATTTTGCTTACCAGGTGATCAGCTGTGATGACCGAGGTCAGCAGACGACATCAGATAGACATGAGCCAGTACAATGCCATATTCAGAGTCAATGGGGTGGTCGCAACACTAGTGTTGCGACCACCCCATTGACTCTGAATATGGCATTGTTCGTTTTGCCCCCTATTCATCTGTAGATTCCAGCTGCAACTTGCAGGTAAGTCACGGTGTCACAGTATCACGGTGGAAGTCACGGTGGAGTTTAGCGGATGTTGTCAGGACTTCTTCTTGGCTTAGCAGCCATACATTCTCTTAGAGTCACGGTTCTGGACCCCCACCCCCCTTAGCATCAGTTACCAACGAGGGCTTAAACAACCGCCTTGATGTCGCCCTTGGGTGTGCTGACAATAAGGGCGACAATCTGTGCACAGTATGGCAGACTGCGACATGAAAATAATTGCTAGCTACGAGCCTGTACAATCAATGTCAACAGCCGCAATCGAGCTGCTTCACCACCTTGAAATTGAGGCGAATGGAAAACGCCTTTACAACAAACGATCTCAACCGGGAACTCTGAGAATAGAGCTCAGACGCCATTCTCTGCAATTGCACATCTTCACCACCTTCATAACCAGTCCACTCGGCACGTCGTGTGATTTCCTACGCAGCATCAACAGCTGGGCCACACCCTCCCACGCCAGTGAAGGTTTGCATCCCTTTGCTGGTTTCCAGGTTCCTGGCATTGCCCTATCCGACCACGCAAATGTAGCACCAGAGATTGTACACCTCCTGCCTCGATTCTTCAGCCATCATCCTCAGAGCTTGACGAATCCCCAAACGCCGCAATGTTTGGCGCTGGCAAGGCTTTCTTTCCTGGGCGATTCAGTTGGGCAGGTGCGCCTTTTCTGCCAGACAGACTGATTCCCTGTGGCTGCTGGCCCGTTTTCTTGCCACCAAACCCAAACTGAATGGTGCTCCTCTGTGATGTCAGGTCCACTCCTGCCTTGGGTTCTTCTTGGGCTAGAGATGCGGCAGCTTGGCCAGACTGCTCACGCCCTCGGCGTGCTCTCTGCAGCCTGACAAACCCAGATGGGCAAATCAATCGGCGAATACTTGCAAAGGGTGTGTTCTGCAAGTTTTGGTGAGCAGGGTCGGCAAACCAACGTTCGCCTTCATTTTGTCAACGCAGAAGCACTGTTCATGCTATGGACAACATCTGTTGAGGAGACTTCTGGTTCAAGATCGCTGCGAAGAGCTCTACATTGTGATCAACAGAATTGGAACCCAGGCGGCCAGGCAATCTTAGAACCCGAATGCCCATGGTGCCGCAGCCACGCAGTGCTCACCACAGTAGCAGAATACATGGCATCAATGATGGACAACAATCAATGGAGTTCTGCCACGCTGGGTACAGAGACGCTTCAGCACACAAAAGTTGCAACACTCCGGCACAAAGCACCTCAAGTACAAAGGCTATGGCTAACAGAGAGAATGCTTCCTTCTCACCCCAGGGGACCACAACTGATCTGCACAGAATTCGTCACAGCACTGTGCTGAATCAATGCACAATTGCATAATGATTCTGCTGACATTCTGCAGGAGGCTGGCTGGGACAGCCCACTAACCACAAATTGCACATTGAAAGAAAGGGCATTGTGGCCTTGGTTGCTAATGTCAGTTTTAGGACTCCTGATTGATTGCTGCTGAAACACAAGACAATTGTTGACCATGCAACCACACATCTGGTCATAATTCACACACTGGGCTGCTGCAACAGAGTGTATGCAACATAATGTTTCACAGCACTTTGAAGTGGATGCAGGTACATACTGGTCGTTGAATCCTGCCATCTCCTTCTCCAGCTGGCGCTGCTCGCGTCTGATGCGAGTTGACTTGTTCCTCCCTGATACCATGGCCCTCATTTCTGCAAGCCTCTGCGGACCACATGCCACAAGGAATCCGTCAGAAATCCCAACTGTTTGAGACTTTCTGGTATGTCTGAATGGAAGTACACAAAGAAACACCCTTGAACAACCCTTTGGAAGGCAGTATCTCCATCATTGAGGTACAAGAACATTGATATGTTGGATATGGGAAGACAACTCCGGGCCAACAAGAGACTTCAAGTGCTGTAGATCAGGATAAGTAATTTCCTAAACGGCAGGCGGGCACCAGTGCTGCGATCACAACCCATGAGGACTCCAACAGCTGTCTGATAGAGTTCCTAGGGCAGAGCGGTGCAGCAGCTTGGCAAAAGTGGGCAGCTTGAACGACATGACTTCCAAGGCGTGCATGCACCTTCTTGTGGTGGTGGTCGTATGATCCCAGGTGACCCTCCAGCTCGATTGCATTTTGGTATTGTTTGTGGCACACCTGATGATTCCCACACAACACAGGGTTGGCTGAATTGCGAAACATAGACAAATCAGTCACACTCAAAGATGGAAGGAATTATTGGCATTTGGCAAGCGGTGTTGGCATTTGGAATCGGATTCAAGTCATCACCTGCTGGCAAAGCATTGCTTAGCAGCACACTGCCTTCAAAGTTTCTCCAGCCAACAATGGCTCATGTTGCTGAAACATCCAGTGGAAAATACCCCCGGATTGTAGTCCCCACAGTTGCTATCCTATACCCAGTGCTGTTCATTGCAAAACAAAACATTTCTGCCTAAAGATAAACATCGCAAAGTTCCCAGAAACATCTCTGGAACATTGATGCTGTGAAGCACACTAAAGGGTTCATGAGCAGCATATTTGATTGTGCCAGGTACTGATGACTCATGCAGCAGCACAGACTGTGGCTGATGATGGCTCACTGCAGCTGCTGTCAAATGCCTGTCCGCTGTTGCCGCGAATGTGCTAGGGCGTGCCCTGGCACAAGATGGTCAATGGCAACCAAGCATCGATCCACAGCACGCACTCTTGGGTTGCCCACCTCACAGAAGAACTTCTGCAAAACTGCCTGCACCTCTTCCCTGATGCGTTGCTCCTTCTCAGCTTGCAACTGCACAGGGCAAAACACCAGAGGGCGGTAATACTAACACACCAAACCACCACCACCACCACCACCAAGCAACCTGTGAAGCCAAAATAGACAATGGTCCCTCAGCGCATTCATGCACAGGCACAGAGGCAAGGATTCGGGCAATTGATTTCTGTGGTCCAAGAAAGATGTGCCATGGCCGTTCGTGAACGATTGGACCAAGAGTGCACATCATATCGAAATGGCAGCGAAGGTAAGATTGCTTAAACGCTCGAGAATCAGCACGTGCAGGCACACAGCACTGCGAAGGACATCAACTGCAGGCCAGATCCCTCAATCCAACAAGAACCAAATTCACCTCTCGCCTTTGTGTCCTTTCTGCATCTTCATCAGCTTGTATTTCAACCTCCAAACGCTTACGAGTGACGTTTTCTGCATTTGTGTATTCTTGATCTTGCTCCAATTTCCCCAGGCCCAGGCGCCCCTGGCCTTCAACTCCCAAGCCGACGGGGTCAACGATACCTGCAGATATATATCCAGAACCACCTAATAGCAACTGCACAAGAAACCATTGCATTCAGAATAGCACTCTCTTTGTACTTTACATAATCGGAAGACACTAAGTACCATCAGTGGGTAAGACACACTAATGTGATCTTGAAGCGACAGTCTCCTGTGCATTCAAACCAACAGCAGTTGGTGATTGGTGAGGACAAGAACAACACATTGGTGACTGAGCAACTCCTGGTGCCATCTTTTGCAAGGCCACACAACGCACTGGGCTGTGTATTCTTCAGTTTATTCAGTCCATATGTGTATATTTAGCTCATTACATAGGTATCAACTTAGGTACGAAAGTATCGCATTCGCTTTGCTGCAAATTTGAAAGTTGTCAAGAACAGAGCATTACTTCTGGTATATGCGCTCTGAATGGGAGCTGTCCATTCACACAGGCATCACGCCAAAGGGCTCAGGCACTCAACTCCTGGCAGGGATTGAAATGTTTTCTGGGTGGAACAATCCATCAAGGGCGACGATGAGAATGGTCTACTCTGGCTGCATATAAATTCCACAAAACAATCGCCCACTGAACGTGTCATCTCAGCCAAAACAAATTTCACTAAGCATATGGCCAAGGCTGCATTTTCATTCTACAACCTAGTTGGCTCACATTGCGATGTGTTGCCGCTGCAACTCAGCATCATGTTGAACCTGTTCAGAGTTCAGAGGGCGATGTATTCACCAATATCACAGTGGGGAGGCGGCAGGGGTTGCAGCAGCATCCAATGGGGAATGGGAGTTCTTGCGCGCATTGGTTAGTCAGAATTCAGTGAACAGAATTTAGTGAATATGGTGAATTTAATGCACTGCATCTGTCTTAGTACAAGCATGAATTGATGCTGCAAGATGGCAAGGATATCTGGAAGGGGTGGTCATCACAAAGGGGCGCATACGTCCATCCCTGCTGCAGGCAATACCTCAAGATCTGCCTGCATCATGATCTAGGCCAAATGCGCATGCAGGAATTAAAAATACCTGTCTATTCAACAGCAAGGAAGAATTTCATTCAATGGACAATACCTTGGCAAGAATCAACTTGAGACCATAGAAGTCTGTGACTCACTGTGTGTTACAAACTGATGATGCTCAACAAGTTTCCTTTCTCCCAAGGGCTTGGAGTGTACAAAAGTACATGAAGACAAGGATGCAAACCTTCATCTACTCACCATCTTCATTCTTGCCAAGCCCCTTTCCCTTCCACCCCATCTTCTGCAATAGCCTGAAGCCCACATTGTCCTCGCCGATGGCCTCATGCAGCGAAGCCTGCTCCAGGCCCTCTGTGTCCAGGCTGTTCTCAATCTTGTGACTCATAGGCAAATGGTAGTTTGTCTCATCAAGCATACTCTCCTCCCTCTCGCGCTGAGCAGACACCACATGGGCATTGTGACCTTAGACTAGATGTCCTGAAGTCAAATTCCACTTAAATAACCATTTCCACTTGCAGAGGCCCTACCCTTGCACTCAAGGGGATGCTGACCGTTGCATTGCAGCGTCACGCAGAACTCTCTGCTCAGTTGCTTGCAGTGCAAGCCTTTCCCAAACATGTGCCCAGTGCGCTCAACAGGCCCAACCTAAAGTATAACACAGTGAGCGCCTCTCTTTTTCTCCGCTTCACCTTTCCTTGAACAGGAGTGGGTTGCACATACTATGAAATGCTGCTCATTTTCACTAACAATGAAACCCACATTCCATCTGTGCCTTTTGACATCAGGTGGACATTGCACACCCCAATCAAAGGATAGGATGCAAGGTCGTGGACACGTGTGGAAATTTGCTGTCATATGGCTGAGCCCTGGCACTCTCTGGTGCTGCTCAATGCAAACTGATCAACAACACCGATGCACACACAGCACGCTTCGCCCCTGACTGATTCCGTTCGCTACAAAGCTCACGATGCCAGCGTCACGCACCGAAACCTTGGTCGCCAGGCCCGTTTCCTCGCGCACGATAGGTCCTTCTTGCGGACCTTTCCGGCTTGAAGCAGTGCGGCTCTTCGTCAAGGAGGAAAGGGTTGGGTGGATGGGGGGGGGGGAGGGAGGTGCTTACCTTCGCTGCCGCTGAATACTCTTCGCCCCTTCCGGCAGCGAGCCGCGGGTCCACGACGTAGGCCGCCATGGGAAGGAAAGGGGGCGTCCCCTGTTGACTGGGCCGCTCCATGGCTCGTCGGATACAACGCCCAACTTTGCCCTCGTGGCCTTCAAGGCAATGAGGCTGGTCCATGGACCGCCTTCTAGCGTTTTTTTGGGCAAGTCAGCATAACTGTCCAGTTCATTACAATGTCGCTCAATGTAGGGGGCTCCAAAAGGTATTCCAGAGTGCAAGTACTTTACAGCTGCGTACGGCACATGGCGCACTGAGGAAAGCAATCTGGGGTGCTGCGTCGGCTAGTACGGAGGTTCGTTATCTATTTTCGTGGCCTCGAGAGAACCAAGTGCTGTCCCTTTCGCGCACTGCAAAACATGGCCAAACTGTGCTTTGAGCACAGCGGCTGACGAGCGCAACTGATTGCACCCAGCTTTGCTTTTGGAGTCAGATTCACCAGAAACTTTGACACATGCAAGTTCGTAACGAAACAACGAAAATGCGTGTCGTTTCGGCCTGAAACACACCAACCTCAGGCAACAAAATGCGGTCTTTTCCTTAAGCTGATGCACGTTCCAGCCCATATACGGGCGTATGCAGATTACTCGCAGCCCCCCAGATGCATTCATGCCGGAGGTGGATTGGCCCGTGTGCAGTTCCAGTGGATGAACCCCACAAAATTGCGACCATGTGCTGTGTGCGGAAGATGTGTTGTCAGCTAGCTTCCATTCTCGTGGCTGCACAAAGCCACTAACGGGAAAACGGGCAATAGGTGCGCAACAAGAGCGAGTCCTGTGTGCTTAAGGACTGTGTTGGATTTCCCATGGACATGAAACGGTGGTCAAACGCGCAGGATGGGACTGGTACTGTGGTGAGTGAAAGCCTCAGCACACTACTTTGGAGTTAAAAGTCTAGACAAAAAAAGAAACGTGTTGGGTATGTGATGCTGGCTCGAAAAGAAGTCCGTATTATATGCGGTATCTATTGCACTATGGAAATTCCGAGAATTTCCGCTCTTCGATGCGTGTGAATTGCACCAATCTCGAAGACAACGTAGAACACGCTGCACCGACTGCAATCAGAGCAAAACCACGTAGGAAATGCAGACATAATTCATAAAACGACGCAAGCACGCCAGCAAAACATCCACAAGCTTGGGCAAACGCGGCCAAATTTCGGCAAAGTTTGGCGACTGTCTCCCCAATAGTTTGGGATGGATGGGTGGTCCTTGACATGCTATGCACTTGAGCGATGCAACAGCACTGCTATTGACCCCTTGATATTGCACCAAGCGCCAACCATCGCAATATATCCCACCAATTCCACTCGTTTCAGCACAAGAGCCACCTCCCTGCGCCACCTCGCCTACTCCACATCATTTCAACTCAGGCACACAGATCTACCATGCGAGCCACTGCTTGCATTTGCAACAGGCATGCCATCCCCTGTCCTGCCGCCTTAAAAGATCAAAAGGGCGATTTTCGACACCAGCAGGGCAGTTAAGGAGGCCGAAACGAGATTGACCTGGTTGTTCGACAGAATATTCAGCCCGCTGATGTGCATCACTTCGTTGGGGTGCCCAGGGCGATTAACAACTTTCTGTGTCTTCAAATTAAAACCGCTGAATTGAAGGGTGGCTCCCAAAATGGAGTCGATGATAGATCCAGCCAGCCCGCCCAGCAGGCCGAGAGGAAGAAGCCACCACTGGGAAACTGGAGTCTGATCCAGGGCACAGCCTCGCTTCAGCAGCTCAATGTCAAAGGTAGACGGATGCGTCAACTAATTTCTCATTAGGTATGGTACAGGGCTCAGGGTTTTATTGACATGGGTCTCAAACACGTTCACTGGACGGCAACAGTGATGTACAGAATGTTGCATGCTAACTTGACAGATCATCTCTCGATTTCCAATCAGTGTTGTAGTAAACTAAGAATGCACCATGGGTTCGAATTGAAGTGTCAATGCAAGCATACCCAAATACAAGACACTGAGAATGAAGCCACCGGACACAAAGTTGTGAACACAAATTTGTTTCAAGGAAAACTGCATGCAGTAATGTTCTATTCCTGTAACCAGCAAGTGAATGGCGCTGTCCATTCAGTTATGATTCTCTAAATGAGCCTGACACCCTTCCGATTCTCGAGCACATCATCAGATTCTGCAACATTCATTAGTAGCACAATGGGCAATAAAATTCCATCAGCTCCTACAGCTCCTTAGGCTCGCTGTGCACCCATCAGCACGGCATGCTACTGGACTTCAGGATGGCCAACAGCTGACTTTTAATTCATTCTGGCCACAACACCATCTGCAAATCTAAAAGCTGAGGCCACAGTGGCGGGATCACCCGCAGTCCACAGTGCAGCAGCTGCTCCAGTATAATGCCATTGTACAAATGGAAAACACAACAGGCTGAGATTATGTGTCCCTACCTCAATGGACGATACTGCTGCTGCACCCCCCACCAATCCGAACGCATAGAACACTGCCCCAATGAAGAGCCCTCCCGCCATGCTAGCTGCTAACCCCAGCAGCGTAACACCGCCATTGGTCCCATTCCGAACTGGTCGACCCGATGTGATCAGACGCGGTGTGTCAGTACTCAACATCCCCACCTCTGACGCCCATGTGTCGCCACAACAACAGGCATAATACCCCAAGAACGCCCCCAGCAAGGAAGTAACAGCAGTTGACCAGCTGTGAAGGAAACATTGGGGCCATAGTTAGCTTTTCCGGCGAGAGAGCATGCATTCATATGAACATTTCCAAAAAGGCTATTAACCTGGGCAGGAAAATTTCTCCCAAAAAGCGAATATGGTCCATTTTTATGGGTCTGCTGTATCTCTGCCAAAGGAAGCAAAGCATTGTCCATAGTGTCAGCAGTCCATTTGCAATAAATGGGTAGGAGTGCAAGCCACATTTTGCTGCTTGCAGCTAGCCTATCTGACCAACCACCAGCTTCCAAAATGCCTTTGCAAATGTATTGGACTCTCCCACACAATCACATATGAGCCACTGAAGAATCCTGGCAATGCTCAAAATCACAAGAGGACAGCTTGCCTGTGTGGAGTTAGCTGTGTTGCTGGTCCTAGCAACAATTGCCACAGAAATTGACAAACCAGCACAAGAGAGCCTCTTAGAGCAGGTAGGACATTCAAAGTTTTACCAGCATTGCACCAAAGTGAAGAACAGCAACTACCTTCCTGCAACAACCTATGAGACATCACCAATGGGGTTTAAGACAGTAGTTTGTCATGTTCTGGTAGAAGCATCTGTGACAACTTAGCAAAACGGCTGTGGCAGGAGAAGAGATGGTACCTCGAGCTCAGGGGCACGTTCTTGAAGTCTGCCAGGACTCCAATTGCACAGGACAAAATGGCCGGGACGCCACCATTCGCTATGACCTGAAATGCCAAGAACTTGTTCGCATGTGTACCTTGGGCAAGATTGTAAAATGAAGTCCAAAACTCTATGGTGTACGATCACCAATGACTGTGCATGCATTCAGGGTTGCTATGAGGCGCGCTCTGCCCATCAAGGCAGCATGCCAGGTGAAGCGATGCACATTCAGAAAAGAACCTACAATCAATTCCCAGCCCAAAGATCATATACAAATATACAGAACGATTCTGGTGGAAATTGATGCTTCTTCCATGCAGCTGAAAGTTGATGGCCATCGCTTAATCAAATGCCTTGTGCTAGCTGCTTGCAACAATAGACCGCATGCCCGCAAAATCGCTCTTAGACACCAAAGTTGAAGCAACTGGCAGGTCGGCGCTTCGTGGAGTAACTCTGCTGTGGCAGGCATTGGCACTCACTATCCTGAACTTTCACAAGCCCTGCTGCACATGCCTACTTCTCTCTTCTCTTGGCGCAAGCTGGACATCATTGGCGCATTAGAAAATGAGAATGAGATTGGAGCCTTTCAAGATGAGATTCAAGCTACTGAAGATCTTCTCACATGAACACAGAGCCTCCATATTGCTCGATTAACAGCACCAAATGCACCCTTAGCAAAGCGGTGGCTGCGCAGCACATGCTCTTGCCTGTTTCCAGTCTCGCTGCCCATCCATTTTGTGCTCTGTCAGCAGCGCTTTCCTTTCCTGCTTCAACTTGGTGAGCCTAGAGGAACTGAAGAAAAAGGCAAGAAGGGTTGCTCCACAACGGCAGTTGGTTGCCATTGTGGCACCTCCAACAAAGAAGGCCGCTATTGCCCCTGGTCACATGAATTACCATATTTAGGAACTCCCTGCACTTTCACAGCTGGCTCAAGTATGTACCCTGACTGTTGACACGTGTCAGAACACCAAAGGCCCAACATGTCAACACTGTGGCGATGCCCCAAAGTGGGCACTGACCAGCGAAGACAATATAGTGGCAACATTTCTCAGCGTCCCACATCATTATCATCGTGAGTAGGTGATCAGCAAATCTTGTCACTTGGACAATGGTTTTAAGTGGCTGCCTGTGTTCTGACCTGACATCGAAAGTGTCCTCTTCAAGTACTGGGAGATGGCAATAAGCAATGCACCAATGAAGCCGCCAATAAACTGGAATTGTGCTCCCATCATGTGGGAGCCCACAAGGATGGCAAAGAGCAACAGTCCCGCTGTTGGCAACGAGTCTCTGAGCCGCTTCAAATATTTCACAACCTGTCGACGCACAGCTAAATTCACGAAAGAGATGATGGATAGACTGCCACATGCACCCTTGCCACAGCCTGGCGCATTCGATGGGAAGAAATTTAGCACAAGGCAGGTGGAACATATACCACATATACATTTGCTGTGTCAAGGTCTTTGAAATGGTGCAAACAACACTAGTAGTGCACAAAAGCAGGCTGATAGGTGCTCTTGAAGCATGCCTTGTGAGCTACACACGAAAAAACAAGCAAAAAATAAAACCATTGTCGATGGAACTGTGTGATGGAGGCCAAATTTTGTGGGTGCACAGACAGGGTGTCCTTCTTGGTCCACAGGCAAACATTTTTGCTTTAGGAACTGCTGCAATGCAAGTCACTGCCTCTATCGAAAATAGACAGGTGGGCCTACCAATAGCCTGCAAACATGACACGTTCGCCTTTAAAACTGCTGCAGCGCAAATGGTAAGTACGGCATTATGGGTGGACAGAAACTCGTTTCTTCTGATCTTCATGCAGTTCAGATCAGTGCCTTTGGCAATGGCAGTTTTGTTGGCAGACAGCACACAATATCTATCTAGGCACACTGGTGGCACAAAACACTTTCACAGGTGAGAGAGCAGCGAGGGACCGAGTTGATCACCTTACCAGGTTCGTATTTCTAGGCGATTGTTCTCTAGCAGTCCACCCCACAAAATTACATTTCATTCATGTGCATTTCTACAGAGGAAAAGACAGATTATGTCTTGGTTGGGTTGACGGTCTGTATGCAGAGGTCTTTCTTCGCTGTGCCTCATCCACAATACTCAACGTGGCGAACATGCCATCCGCTGCATTATTTTCTCACAAGCAGCACAGCTGTCCTGTACCTTAGCAATCACCACCACTGCTGACGTCCACACAGCTGTTGCACAAGATACACGCAGGGTCGCAAACAGCAAAAGCAGGGAGAAGAGGGTGTCAAATTGTGCTGGTACCCAACTCTAGCACCATCGACGGGGCCAAAGCTGGGCCTCAAGAAAGAGCATCAACCCAAACCCAGCTCGGGAAGTAGTTCCCAAATCTTACCAGAGGGTCTGGCCAGGCGCTGGGCAGTCTCCGGACCCTGTCAACCGCCTTCTCGGCCTTCAAGGCGGCCTGTTCGGCGCTCGCCAGGGCCTCTGTCACCTCCAAGACGCCGGACGCAACCGCCTCGGACCCAGAAGCGCCCTCGAAGATTTCGGACCCCCCGTCTACAGGAGCAGAAAAAGCGGACGCGCACACGGCGCAACGCGATGTTCCGAGCAGGCTTCCTCGCCTGCGGTGCTTCAGGCACCGATTTAGGCCCTGAAGCGGAACACAAAGGAGAATAAGATCACCGTCTGATGGCAGGGCTGTCCGTGCGGCTTTGATTCGGCGCAGCTGCCGTGGGCCAGGCCGGGGGCGCGGGGACCGCACCGGAGAGGCATGCGGGCAGGGTGTCAACAGCTTCCAGCAAGCTCGCGGGTTGCCCAAAGGTGGTGGGCCCATGGGGCCTGCCTCGGTTTGTAACGATGTTCTTGTCTGTGTGCCATTGTTGTAACTAGAACTGATTGATTATTATTAGCAACTGAACGCAGAAAGAGATGATGAGGCACTAGGAATTGCATTAAAAGGCGTTGATGAGCGGACTGGATATAAGGGACAGAACTCCTGTTTTCTCTTTGTGTCGGGTGTAAACCGTTGCCGTGGACTCGAGCCTGCCTGCCTTCGTCACCATCAAGCCTTCATCTTCGTCCCGTGATGTTCACGATGGTAATAATCAATGACACAAAGAGGCGTTGTTATATTGAGAGCTGATCGAGTCTTAACAAAAAGTGGTGAGATAGGGACTGACTCAAATACGCTGATGAATGGACTGGATATAAGGGACAGAACCCCCTTTGCTCGGTTGTAAACCGTTGCTGTGGACCCGAGCCTACGGACCCCGTTCAGGGGTCGCCAGCCCCCGACCCTGCCTGCCTTTGTCAGCGCCGGTTGGTATTGGTCTTGGTGCAGTCCTCCAAAAACGTCCTTCCACAGATGTGTAGACATTTCACTGGCCTAAACACTTTCTCGCAATGAACTATCGTTGACACGCGCTTCTTGGAAACCGGGAACCGATGGACTCCGGATTCTGTTGTGTTGCACACCAGATATTGATGATCAAATCATGGAAGCCGCTTTGGCTAGGCAAAACGGGAAGCCAACGGCCACCTCCTTGCCTTCTTGTGCAGAATTTCATGGTGATGGCGATCGCTTACAACAGATTTCTGCAAATTGAAACCCAAGTTTGGCATGCAGTTTAAACGATGGATCAAAGTCAAGCCAGCTTACGTAATATGGGCGACGCATGTGGGAGGCTCCTCGTCGCGTCTCGGGTTTTTGAGCGACCCTGGGAGAATTATATTGGGTCAGGAGTGGTTGTTCTCACGACCGTTGCCCATTCCTGGTGGTGCAGATCAGTCGGTCAAATGCACCATGGAAATCCACATGCCGAAAACGCTTGCCCCTGAACTCCCATGGGCGCGCGCACAACGAAGATCGACATCTTTCCGCAGAGAAAGCACTGCCCCGTCCCTAGGGGTCAACGCGCGTAGCGGCCGTTTCGTCTAAGGACAACTCGTCTAACGGACAAGTGGTCCAAGGACATTCTGTCTAATGGACAACTCGTCTGAAATGCCGTTGACCCGAGTTGACTTGCTCATATCCGCATTCCAGCTCAAGCCGGTGGCCCGAGGGCCCTAACTCGTTCAGCGCATTCCCCGGAAACCCAAAAACCAACTCACTCATATCTACATTCCAGCTCAAGCCGGTTGCCCAAAGGCCCTCATGAGTTCACCGCAATCCCTTAAATCCCCAAATCAACATCTTCATATCCGCATTCCAACTTAAGCCGGTGGCTGCAATGCCCTCGTCCGTTCACCTCATTCCCCTAGACCCCAAAACTAATCCCTTGTGTCCGCACTCCACGCGTTGGCCCGTCTCTCTCGCCGATCCGCCTTCTTGCCTTGGAATACCTGCTGGTCCCATCGCTCTCAGTCGGCGCTGCCATTCGCCTGCCTCTTCCGTCGATCCACCTTGGCGGCTTGGAGAATCTCCGTGCTCCATATCTGCCGGTCGACTCTCCCTCTCGCCAGCCTCTCCCGTCGATCTGGTCTCGTGCCTTGGAGAATCTGCACGCTCCATCGCTGCCAAACAGCGCTGACGTTCAGCCACCTCTCCCATCGATCCACCTCCTCGCCCTGTAGAATGTCCCTTTTCCATAGCTTCCAATCGACGTCCCACGCAATGCCACGCTGCGCCAAACCGCGCCACACCCGCCAACCACGTGACTGGACCGCCGATCACCTTCCTGTGCTGTCCTGCCCCCTGTGCGGGTGCCAGGAATGCGCCCAGGAACCAGTTCGGAAGGTGGTCCCCCACAAACGAAATGAAATGTAATTGAAGGTTAAATGCAATTGATGGGCGCTGCTCAGACGAGTTGACTCAAATCGTCTAAAGACAACCCGTCTAACGCAAAGACGGAGTCGACATTGCACTTGACTTCACCACAGGGCACCTGAACACACGCAACACTTCTCTTGATGCATGATCATCGACAATCACTTCCAGGCTTTAGGAGTTAATAGAACCATAGCTTTTGTTTGTGTTCAACATTAGACTTCAACGAATTGACCACAAACTCTGCTTTGCTCGGGCAAATAGGAAGCTGACGGCTACCTCATTGCCTTGTTTTGTAAAAATTGATGTTGATTATGAAGACACGCAACGGCATTGAAAACGAGTGGTATTTGTAGCAGAGAAGTTTGCGTCATTGGTACACAACTCGTGGCCGCGTTTCGCGAGGATCACTCGTTAGACAAGTTGCCCTTAGACCAATTGTCCTTAGACAACTTGTCCGTTAGACAAGTTGTCCTGAGACGAATTGGCCGGACACCGGTCAACGCATCTGGTGCGTTTTTTCTTTTCTTTCCTATTTGCCGACCACCATTTTACACCAGAGCGCCTGAGCAGGAGTTTGCGGCCCCTCGATCGGCGGCGTTGGGCGGAATCCGCGCAAGCTCTGCGGGCATTCCGCCACCGCCTGCGGCGCAGTTCGGATGACGCCCAAGCGTCGGATGGACGAGCCCATGGACGATGAGATCGACGCGTTCGCCGAGTCGCGTGACCGCGTGTCTTTGGACGCCATCGGCGAGCTGCGGAGGGGGCGGCGGGAAGGCGACGTCGAGAGCGACGACGACGAGGAGATACCCGTTCTGGACATTTCGGACGAGTCTGATTCGGAAACTGAAGGCGGCAGCGATGTGGAGGATGGGGAGTCCGAGGGGACGAGCGAGGAAGAGCTGGTCGCGTCGGCCTTGCGGCAAGGGGGCAAAGTCGCGGAGAGTGAGTGCCGTCAGTCCCCGGATGATTTCGCGCCCCCCTGTTGTGCCATGAAGGCCTGCCCGCCACGACGTCTTCTGCAAAGCCCTTGAGCCCTGGCGATTTGGTGATGTCTCCATTGTTGAAATCCGCAGTTGCCAAGGCGGCCAGGGCCATTCGGACGGAGATTCAGAGGCACAAAGGCCTCGACAGCGAGGACAGTGGAAGCGAAGAGGGTGGCGAGCCTGCTTGGGGTGGAATCGACGACCATTATGGCGATGACTTGGAATTTGAGGTCAGCCCGCATCCATTCGCCTTTGCTGAGCAGATATTCTTGCGAGGGAGTGCAGATTGCCTCAGCGACTGACTTTTGCAGCAGCAAATTCGAAGAATGCAACAGTGCACAATTCGCTGGCAATGTTGTGCCTGCCTCGCTTGGTAATCGGGCATTGTAGTAGGCGCATAATGGCCAGCTTGATTGTCTGACGGTTTTCAACTTGCAGCGTGACCCAGAGGCCCGCAGGGCTGAGGAGGAGGAAATGTACAGGCTGCAGCAGCAGAGACTGAGCAAACTGTCTGAACAAGACTTTGGGCTGTTGAGCGATTCGGAAGCAGAGAGTGGAGGAGATCAAGAAGGTCCCCTGGAGGTACAGTCAGGTCTTGCACAGAGGTTGCTTTTGCTGCTCCCTGTTTCCCAATGCATGAAAACAGTGGCCTTTTGTTAAGTTCTCACACTCTGCACTCATGATTCAACACCGAAACGATTGTGTTCTGTATAGCTGAGGTGCTGCTGAACCAATCGTCACTCTCTGCCTAATCTGTGTCAATGGCCACTAATTTCGCTCTGAAACTCTGTGTGACAGTGCAGAGCGGCACCAGACATGCTGCAGCCACATCTCAAGATGTCTCCATTCTCAAAAGGGGGAAGGAATTGGGCGCTGTATCGATTGATGATATTCCTGAGGTTGCTGCCATGTGCGCTGAGCTAAAGGAAAGTCTGCATGAGGTCAGAAAGAAAATCACGCCCCTGCTTAAAGAGGTGAGCTCTCTGTATTTTTGCATGCAAGTCAAGCTATCTTGACAACTGCCAGTGTTTTGTGCCATTGTTTAGGCTTCCATGTTGCAGTGTTTGGTGGATTGTAGAAACAGCCTTGCTGTGGGCACCTTGTGACTGCTTGCAGCATTCTATTTTCTTTTTCTAGATTTGTAGACACAGAATTGCCCCATCATGATAGGACCGGCGTCCTGAGAACTCGGCACCAATACCACTGACTCACTTTGCAAGCTTGCTTTGGCAAGAGTGCTAAACTACAGCCAGAGTCTTGGTATTTCGTAGTCAGTCACAACACTCAATTGTACACCTCCAACTTGCCCAATTTACACAATGCGATGGCAAGAGGTGAAATGACTTGTATGCGCCCTTTCATGCAGGGTATTCTGCACAGTGATCGATTCATGCATCATTTTGTACCTTGGCATCATTGGAGAGGAGGCAATGAAAGGCTCATAGACACAAGAAATTGCGCAGGGTTTCGCTTGCCACACAGTGCTCTTGGATGCAACACACAATGCTGCACTGACTTGACAGAAAAGGTCAAACTCTTGCACCATTCAGTGAATACATGTGTATTATGAACGCAGGTCAGAGCTGGAGGACTCTGTGACAATGAGGGGCTCAACTATCTTGAGGCCAAGCAACTACTGCTGCTGCATTATTGCCTGTGCATTTTGTTCTTCCTGCTGCTCAAGCTTGAGGGCAAGTCCGTCAAGGACCACCCTGTTGTTGTAAGGCTGGTGGAAATTCGAGCCAATTTGGTGAGCAGGCCATCGTCTGTGGTGTAAATGTTCATCTAGGTCATTTGTCAAATACAATGCACTGCCCTGTCATGCTGCAGGCAATGCCACAGAAAGCATTCCTTTCCATTGCATGCGTGGTTTCGGAAGATCTACTGCTCCATTTGATGGCACCCAACCACCGATATTCTCTATGGTCCAGTTGATTTTGCTGAGGTGCTGCCCTTGGACTTGGACTTGTGATGCCAGTCCTAATTCCGTTAACAGCGATTCTTTGACTACGTTTGTTGATTACCTCCATCCAGAGCATTCTAAGATTCCCAGAAGTAATTGATATGAAATGAAAGGAACTCGGATCCCACTCTTACGAGATGTGTTGCGTCTCCTATCACAAGCTACCTGTGCAAAAATCTTTTTCTTTTATGTTATATTGCTGGGACAACCTCGTGCGCACTCTTGCTACTACCTTCCTATGTCTGTCAGCGTGACCAATGAAAGATGACGAATACTTCCAAAAATGGGTGCATCACAGCGTCTGCAAGTGCAATGGTCAGAATCCGCCTTGTTCATTGCAGTGTAGGGGGTCCCACGTGCACTTGGCGGAGGCATGTGACGAGCGTTGACATGCCCTTGACATGCACTCCTTGTTGTCCTTGGTGGCCAGTTCTGGGACATTGCTGAATCAATGCTAGTTTGGGGCATACATGTGAGGTGTGGATGCACCATTCTCCACATATGCATTGGCCGGCCCCAGCATCGTGGCATGCAGATGCTGCATCGCAGAGCAATATTAAACAGATGCATGGGAATCTGAGCACAACAGCATCTGCTCAACAGCTTGCCTTGGAACATCCGTTCCTTGCAGTCATCACATAGTCAATGGTATTTGAGCATGGTGGCTGCATCTGATTCACAGCGTTGCCCGGATGGCTGTTGTTGCGATTGCCACTTCTGGGCTCTGATTGGTGCAGGAGAAGATTCGTCCAATCGACAGGCGCTTGCAGTACCAACTTGACAAATTGCTGAGGGCTGCCAAGATGGCAAAGGAAGCAGAGGAGGCGGAGGAGGCTGGACAGGGTACAGGTGGTTGCAGCTGTCATACTGCAATGATGGCACTTTCAAATATTGTACTTGGTTTCTATACTTACGTTTTGTATTTTATCCAATTTTGTGAGCACATGGCAAGTTGCCACCTATGTGCTGCATTCCACTGGGCACTTCAGGACCTGTTGGGGACGTGTATAAGCAACTGGTGGCTTGCAGCACATTTGCCTTGCACCAGCCATAGCACAGGAGTCATGCGGTTGGGACATTGGCGACTTGTGAAATTTGGCTGTTATGTGGCCCTTGGATAACCTGTCAAGACATGTCACTGAAGCCAATCCCAAGCCAGGGTTGCACAACGTTTTTGCTGTGGTTGTAAAAGCAGTGAAACTTGCTCTCAGAACTGCCCTCAGTGCAACCAAGCCACAGCAGTTCCAACCATGCAGCACACCTTGTTCGAAGGATACCATTGTGAATCAGCTGCTTATGCCTGAGTCACCTGCTGTACAGGTGGCGATTGGTTGTAAAATGTGTCACAGCCCTATGCTATGTTGATGGTGTTCTCTCTTGCTGCCAGATGCTGCAGACCTCCACCAATGTGGTCCAAGACCTGACATGCTGGTGCCAAAAGCTGCTGACACTGCCAATGGGAATGATGGTGGTGTCTACCGTCCCCCAAGGCTGAACTCAACTGCATTGGAAGAGCGTGATAAGAGAAAATTTAAGGCCAAGAAGCTGAAGAACACCAAGAAGCGAGCTGCCAGACGTGCTGTTGTGAGTGTTTTTGCCTGCTGTTGCTCAGATCATGTGAGGCTCTTCGTTCACAAAGTACTATGTCTCCCACACATCCCGCCTTGAAAGACACATTGCCCAGACACCTGCTGGAAGTTGGCTGTCACCACAGTGGGATGGGGTGGGGTGGGGTGGGGTGGGGTGTTTGCCTCCCATTGTTGCATTTGCGCAACTGCTACTCTGCAGGCCTCTGTCACAATGACGCGATGTTGTGAGAGTCTAAATTGTGAGTTTAATGGGCAATATTGGGCCTATCCAGACCGTTTTGTATGGAATGTGCATCGGTTGTGTTGACCACTCAGTCGAAATTGCTCAGTCAACTTGACCTCATATTGTGCTACAATCTGTTGCCATAACTAGCTGAATGTGCCAATGAAGCAAAGGCCTTTGTTGTTCAGTATCAACTGTACGTCAGTGCACCACAACATGGACCTGGCTGACAAACAGAGTGCTGTTTTAGCAGGTCCAAGAGATGGCAGCTGAGCTGGCAGAAGCTCCAGAGGCGCTGCCAGGAACACCAGCAGGGATGGAGACTGCAGGAGCCATCAGAACGCTGCGAAAGATGAGGGAGAAGGAGAATGTGGAAAAGGAATTGATGCCAAGCTCACTGACAACAGGGGTGGCGAAGCGGCGTTTGAAGGTGCCAAAAAACCTCTTAGGCAGTGGACTTGCCATTAGCATTTGATGCATGGTGGTGCTGCTTCCAAAGTGTGCTGCTGGTTGTTGTCCAAAACTAGTTGCGCAAGGGAAGTGCATCCCTTTTTTTCTAAGTGGTAATGGCCATCAAGATGTATGGAAGAAAATAGGCCCAGTGACATACTTTCATGGCACATTGTATTTGCTTGTGTCTAAAGTGCTTTGCGGTCTTCGATGAAGTTCCTGCTGCACTGGTCCTCTGTTGCTGGGAAGAATCATGACTTGATCAAAAATCGCAGATTTCACTCCGCTGGCACATTCACCATGTTATGTTGGTTGTGTGCTTCTTGCTTTCAGGTGCATCATGGAGCTGGATTGTCTGGGAGAGTTTTCAACGACTTTGCTGATGAGGTTGCTGACATGGTGGACTCAGTTGGCAGGATCAAAGCCCAACATGCTCTCAGTCAAAAATTTGGGATAGATTTGGCACCCAAGCATTCGCTGAATCCAAAGACTGGTGGGTATCGTGCTGCTTTCAGAAGGGCAGTTGGGATTGTCTGCAGTCAAATGGAAATTGCAATTATGTATTGTTCATTGGTTTCACTGGACTTCCTGTGATCTTGTGTGCAGATTGTGTGGGACAAATCGTTCATCCTCCAGTTTGAATTGTCCCTTGTTTTCTTGTGCACTTGCTATATCAATGGATACATTTCAGTAAGGGAGCGTTTCAGTCAACTGAGCCATAATATGTCCTGCGAGTGTACTCTAGCAGGGATGCATATTGTGTTTGCGTGCACAATGCCTCTCCATTGGACCGGCTTTGCCTTCCTGGCCTTTGCAACTGATCCCTTGCCACCCACAGGGCTGACGATGTGGGTAAGTCCGCATCTTGTGCAGCATCTGGATAGACGACCTTTTGCCAGGCGATTGAGAAACATGTTAGAATCCCTCCAGCACCCTGGAATCTTGCTCCTCAGGTGTTGGTTCTGGAACAGGGGATGAGGATCTGCCAACTAAGCCGTCACTGTTGGAACGACGCATGAAGCATCAGAGCAACCAATTGCGCAAAGGTGTATTGTCCAGAGGAAAGCCAGAAACACAAGAGAACGGGTCAAGCCAAGAGGCTCGGAATCGCCCACACAAGAGCAAGGTTGCTGAGAAGAAACTCCAAACGTCAAAGCCGCCAAGGGCACCAATGACAGTGGATGGCCCCAGAGCGATCACGAAAGAAATTCGTCATAACAGAGGGCTCATGGCATACAGGTGTGGCTATCGTTCTGTTGGCCAGAACATGTTGATATGGATAAGGTGCACTTGTACAACTGTGTGGATTGATAAAGTGCGATGCAGCGTATGCTGCATGGATAGTTGCAGTTTTGAGCGATGCAGTTTCAGGGATGTTGTTTTTACGTTGCTTGTGTATGTTCAGATCAATCCCAAGTACAGTTTCGCTGCTGCTGCTGCGCCATGCTCTGATGCCTCAAATTATGTGCAGAAACTGTTGCACACATGCCTGAAGATTGACAGACTCAGTTTACCAAAATATGCATCCTTTTGCGCACGTACGAGTATTGCAATATGCGATTGAATGGGTAAAAGACTGCTGGCTGGTGGTCTGGTGCACGGCATTCATTGCGTTTCGTGAGTGTTGTGCTGGAATGCAGTAGCGGGTTCTGTAGTGTAAAACTGGGCTGGGATACTGAAGCATGGTGCCAAAAAAATGCAATCTATCAGCAATCCATGCTGCAATGAAATTTCAACGCCTAGTCCAGGACCATACACTTGTTGGTCCTACTTCACTACGAAAAAAAGGGCCAAATAAGACTTGCTAACACACATAAAACACATGTCATCAAAGTGTTGCACACTAAGAGTACAAAAATAGCACAAACTCGTAAACTTTGTACACGTTTGAACACGAGTTACATGCCCCTTTTTTCCCTAGTGCATGCGTCTTATTGCAATTGTGCTTGTTGCCAACGTGCTCATTGCTGTCGTCAGTGCTGTGGTGTATCCCATTCAATCCTTGTGCTTTACTGCTGTATTGTATCTTCAGGCGGAAAGACACAAAGAATCCCCGGAAAAAGCAGCGCGTTCGCTACGAGAGAGCTGTGTCAAAGAGGAAAGGACAAGCAGTTAGTGTCAAGAAGGGAGGCTTCAACTACGGAGGAGAAAAGACAGGAATCAACGCCAACATCTCAAAGGGCGTCCGATTCCAGTGATATTTACCAAAAAGACATGGAGCCAGTCCGGTCATGGGAAGGGATGGTTCTGATGCAAATGCATATGTTCCATGACTTCTGTGTTCAATTGGTCTCTCAGGACCCTTTGTATTGCACATATTCAACATTCTTTAGTGCCAGTTGCGCAGTTGTTGCTCATATTCTATTTGCTTCTGTGTGTGTAATTCTGATTTCATTGCATTCTCAAACATTAACATTGACTGGTAAATGTGGTTTCGGTCGCAACAAAAATCCAGAGTGAGTTCTTTGCGTGCGAGGCTTCAGTTTGTCCACATCGCGTTGTCTGAGAAGGCTCGATGTTCTTCTGTGTATTGGACAATCTGCCTGCAGGAATTGCGAACGAACTGGACCAAGCATGTTCCTGGGAGATTCTGCCCAGCAATCGGCAGACCCGCTCGCTTGCTTCGGCAGTGAGCTGATGTTCATTGAGAGTTCATTGACAGTGAATCTCAAAGATTGAATGTTAATCAATTTTCAACAAGCAGGAGCAAATGATCTGCAAAATCTGTGGATCATTTATTCCTGCTTGTTGACACCGCAGTGCCGCCATTGAGAACCGCTGCAACGACTGTGCAAATTCCTATGTATCAGCCTTTCCGTTGTGGATGGCTCTCGCCTTCGTCTGCAATGTTGGCACCTTCCTCGCGACGTGCACCCGTGTCCATAGTCACCCGTGCAACACGCCACAACGCACTCTGTCGCTGCATCCATTGCATCGCCGGTGGCAATTCACCTGCGCTCCGTCCCTTGTGCCTTCTACAGACTGACGCCCTGAGCGACCGTTGCCCCTTCTTTCGACGCGAATACCTTTTGCATAGAGCATGCAGGCCTTGATGACTAAAGCACACATACATCAGTGTTCGTTATGTATTTAGCATGACGTAGGCGAGGCATCACTTTTTTCCAGGCTAGTGACGCCTCTATCAATTAAATTAATGAGAATGGCGTGCCGACTGTGGAGTTTGACGTGCTTGGAATCTTTCATTTTTGAGGTTGACGGGATCCATGGATCTGGAGGCATCAGAAAAGGTGGACAGATCGTTGTACATGAACGGCTGGCAGTATGAAGTGTTGGCCTCTTGGTGTGTTGCTCGGGGGTGGTTGTGATTGATGTACCATGTGTGCCTCACTCGTCTCAACCAGACAGGTTGCCTATGGCGTTACACTGGACGCCGGCATTAATGTTGTGCATGCAATATTACATTGTTGTAAGTAGAATTGATAGAATATTATTGACAACTGGGCGCGTAAAGAGGTGATGAGGCATTAAGAACAGCATAAAGGACACTGATGAACAGACTGGACATAAGGGACAGAATTCCTGTTGTTTCTTGGCTCCACTGTAGTGGTTAACCGTTCTCATGTACTAGAGCCTACGGGGCCAGCCAAGGGTCGCCACCCCTCGACCCTGCCTCCCTAGTCAACACATGTTTTTTTTGTTGAATTCCAATGTATTACATGTTGATCTAAGCAAGGAGCTCCCCCGCAAAACGTTAAGCACAATGGGATCCTTTTCCAGCAGGAGCCGATGAGTCAACACCTGTTGCACATTCAATGTTGCATATCAATTCTTCTGGGGCCGTACTTTATACCACCGTAGCCCCTTCCCCAGGCGGGCCGCCGGGGGGAAACAGTTCCCGGACCGACGGGCGTCCAATGGGACCGTAGGTTCCACCAAACGCGGTGTCCTGAGCACGGCCTGCCCAATCGACCGCTGCGCTCTGCGAACCGACACTTTCCAAGCACCATGGCGTCCGCCGGACCCCCCTTCCTGACGGCACTCTCCGTGGACTTCGGCGACGGCGACGACGCCCAGGTGGACGGCGTTCCCGTGAAACGGGTCTGGCTGCGCGACGGCGGGCTCGCGGGGCCACGGGATGCCGGCGACGGCCTTGCGGAGATAGATGACCACGTGACCGAGGATCTGTCGGAGGAGATGGCGAGCATGGGGCTGCCCACGGCGTTCAAGTCGTCCAAGAAGCCGGCGCGAAGGAGGGAGAGGAGGGGGAAGGGCAGGGGAAGGGGGAAGGGGAGGGATTGGAGACTGGCGGAGGCATGCCGGGGAATGGCGAATCTGGGCATCGGCGGTGGATCGGTGGAGGAGGAGGGGCTTGGCGGGAAAGGCCCGGCTGCGGCATGGGAGGCATGTGCGATGGAGGTGGAGGATGGCGGTGAAGAGGGGCCTGAAGTGTGCAATCCGGCTGGAAAGGCATTGGATGGTTCCGGACATTGGCTGGTTGGCAGAGCCTTGGAGGAAGGAATTCAGCAAGGCGGGGATATGGACGTGGACATGAGGGAGGGGGATGGAGCGGATGGGGATGTGGGGATGGATATGGAGGAGGTGGGCGGAGGGGAGAGTGGCTGTGAGGCGGGAAGGGCAGTGGGGGACGCGGGCCGCGGGGCCCACCAGATGGACGGGGCCAGCGGCGGGGTGGGGGTGGCCGGAGGGGCGGTTCAGGGGCCGGGCAGGCCGTGGGTAAGCCTGAAGAGCTGCGAGGCGGCGCTGGCGCGCCAGGCGGTGCCCCGCCGGTTGTTCAAGTACTGGCTGCAGCGCTACTGCCTGTTCTCCAGGTACGACGAGGGCGTGCAGATGGACTCGGAGGGCTGGTACTCGGCCACGCCGGAGGTCGTGGCGGCGCACCAGGCAAGGGCGTGCCGGGGGGACCTGATCGTCGACGCCTTCACGGGCGTGGGGGGCAACGCGATCCAGTTCGCTGCCGCCGGTGCGTCCGTGCTGGCGTTCGACCTGTCGCCGTCGAGGATCGAGTTGGCCAGGCGCAACGCGGAGGTGTACGGCGTGGCGGGCCGCATCGATTTCATTTGCGGGGACTTTTTTAGCGCGGGGCGGGGCGTGCGGGCGGATGTGGTGTTTCTGTCGCCGCCCTGGGGCGGGCCGAGCTATGCCGGGATGGAGTGCGTGGATGTTGGTAATGGGAGGGGGCCCCTGGCGGAGATGGTGGGGAGGGCGGTGCGGGCGGCGAGGAAGATGACGGACGGCAGAGGGACCGTGGTGCTGTTTCTGCCGAAGAACACGAACCTGATCGGCTTGAGGGGCATGGCGGGGCACCGGGAGGACGTCAGGGTGGAGGTGATCGTGGTCAATGGCGCCGTCAAGGCGTTGACGGTGTACCTGGAGCCTCGCCGGTGACGCGGGCGCATTATGTCTGCGGAGGGCATGAGAAGGGGGGGCCGCTGTACGCAGGAGGGCGGGATGGGAGGGACCGATGTGGGTCATGGTGGGGATTTGGGTGATTTGGGTGGGGCAGGAGCGGGTGCAAACGATGGGTTTGGGGTCAAATGGTGGAGCTGGTGGTGGGTGGGGGTGTTGCGATGCAAGGCGGTGTTACCGAGGGATTGGGGAACGGGAGGCAGCACCAGGCACTGCCAGCAGCCGCTGTGTTCCGAGATGGGTACCTCAGCAACTTTGGTCCCAGCGGTTTGGTCCCTGCCACTTTCTGGAGGAAAACTGCTCGACGTCGTGGTCCCTGTAAGCTTAGCAGGCGAGGTTGACGAATAATCGCTCCCTGTTGACTTGTACTCAATGTTGTCAGATTCCCTGCAATTCATGGGATACACTGGAAATGGGCAGTGCCACAGCTGCTGCTGGCACAAATGTTTTAGGCTGTTGGCAGTCTGGATTGCACTGCAGGTTAGCGGGTGGGTGCAATTCATTGACGCTGACAGACTTGCGTGGGAAATCGACGTTGCCCCTGCATTCCAATATTCACCTCTGGACATATTGACAGGAAATTAGTCCCAGCCATTAGTTGTGGATTGAAGTTGGACCTTTGAGCTGTGTACTCTTCACAAGCTGTGTGCAGACTTGCCTGCAGGATCGCATTGCAAGAGCTGGCTACTCTCACTTTTGGACTAGTTTTAATGGAACGACGCACATCGTCATCTCTGCTGATAGCACCACCTTGCCCAACCAAGCATGTGTGGTGCCACACAACGTTGCCTTAGTGAGTTGCATACGCAGCACAGTTGCCTGTATGTTGGCTTCTCAGCTCCCTTGAGAAAGAAACCATTTCTGGAGTTATGGGTGTACCATTGCTGGGCGATACTGACTGGAGTCCTGTTTTTCTAGACAGGACCAGATGACACTATGCTGAAAAGAAGTTCCCCTTGAACAAGGAGGCGCAACATTCCAACACTGAGAGGATGATCGCCAAGGTTGGGGCAGTTGTCAGACTCATTGTTTGGCATGGGGCAATGACAGGGTGCCACTTGTTGTTGAGCCCCTGTACAATCTGGTAAACAACGACAACAGCAAGACCAACCAGCACCGCTTTAAGCCCATGTGGGGATTGCTTGTGGTGTCCCTTGCATTTGAGGGCTTGACTCCCAATCCTTGTATAAGCAAATCGGGGTATTATTGTGCACGGACGTGCATGGAGACATGCGCTACAACTGTATGCTCTGCAAAAGTACCCAGGAGTGTCTGCCCCTGAGCAAGGTGTTTTGTGAGTATCTTGGCTCGATGGAACAGGTGTGACATTTATTTGTACAAAATTAGTGGCCCATCGACTTCTGCAGTATTGTGTCTTTGGCACAGATGTAGAATTTTGGAATGCAAATAGACAAATTCGTGTCCGATTTCTAACTTGGGCGAACAATAGTCAAAACGTTTGATTCAGAGAAGTTACCAAATCAGCTTCGATGAACTGTATTGAAAGCCATCTGTAGAGCCCCCAAACATGAAAAAAGACTCTGTGTTTCTTGTGATGTGTCAAACAAGGCTAGCATTTTATCAAGACCTGGGGGCGGATCAGGGCGAGCTTGTCTTGCCCTTCAATAGGCATGGACTGAGCTATCACTTTGTTGGTTGGGTTCATAAGGAAGATGCAACCCGACACCATAGAGAATCCATGAGAAAATGGATTGAAGGTCATTGCAAACTTGGGGGTGTCAGCAAGAACCTCATAAAAGTTCTGGCCACAGGCTAAGAAACACCTGAATTTGATGTGGATGCATCCTCTTGGCAGACATGCCAAAGTTTGGAAGGACGTACGTACTGATGCCAGCCTAAAAGATGGCCTGGATTGAGGCAAACATGCCTATTCTTTGGAAACCAGAGTTGTTGAAATCTGATTCAGCATAAGGGAAGAGACGATCCACAGTAGTATGATAGTATTGATGCTGGAACCCTTGAAGGGTGTGTTGGTGCCTATTCATCATTTACAACAAGTTTTCTTCATGAATTTTTGGCGAATGGGCTGGAACATGCTGGAAGAAGGCCAGCGCAACAATGTGGGGAATTGATAGCCCACATGGAAATAAACAGGGGCATTTTGGATATGGCTGCGAATATCAGGTTGTATGGCAATGACAAATGCAATCAAGGGCCACATCCATATAAAATCAACCAAGGACTTCGAGGCTGCTGACACATTGACTGACAGAGTTGATCTTGCAGAATTATAGCAAGCCTTGGGGATCGGACACAATTTGGGGGGCAAAGATTGTATTGTATTTAGTATTTTGCCATCCGAAAGCACCTAGTGTTAGGCAAATCAGGTTGCATTCATTATTCCCTTGCAGATAGTTCCGCATCCATTAAGCATTGCATGCCAGAGGAGAGTTTTGACCAAAACTAACACAGGTGCAGCTCTGTCACCGGTGAAGCACCACAGATAGGCACACAATAATTTGCTGTCTACATACCATAGGATTGAAGTGCTGGATGATTATGCTGATTCAGAAATTGAATGGAACATAACTCTGGAGTTGTTCTACAACAGCTGGAAATTTTTGTGGAATCATATGTACAGGCCTTCCACGCATTTTTCATTTCTTGATTTGCAATGTGCAATGCCCAGATGTGTAAGAGGCGTGGTTGTCATCGCAGCCTTCGTTATACCACACAATATCACTGGACGAACATCCCAAATGTGCTTGTAAGCATGTGCGTGTACTTGTCTTATCGTTGGCACCTCAGTTGTTGTTGCTTTGCTGCAGAAGGTATTGTTATGCTTGTGGAATGAGAGTGCAGTTGTACTGTCTGCAGTGTTCCTTTGAACATCCCTCACACACACTCTCAAAACCTTCACTCAAGCGGTTGCTGGGCTTCTGTCCAGGCCAATGTGGAATGCTTTTTTGAAGCCAGAGCCCACAGAAGAAGGCAACAAATTGGGGTCAAAGTGCATACGACACTTCCCGCTCCCAGGTCAAGATGCCAAGACATTCAATGTGTGGGTCGGTGATTTGCAGTCACCTCAATTACTTGTGCATCATAAAAGAGAACTTCTGTTAATGCAGTTTGTAGGCCTGCTAATCTGTTTTCCAAACTGCTTGCAAATTCAATGACAGCGCGTCCTCAAAAGCTCTGGTGTCACTGATGTTGTAGCAGCAATGCCCTTTCATTTGTGTGAGCTGCACACAAATCAGCTGCTTGTCCTCATAAATTATCCTTGAGAGTGTGCCAAGAAAATATGCTGGAACAATGGATGTGGTGTTGTGTGGGAGATGATCTGATTCTGATCAAGTTGTCATTGCTGTGCAGTGAGGCTTGCACACATTGTGATTCGAGGGAATCATTTCGTGGTGCAACATCAGTAATTCCCTATTGCAAAAGTTGAACAAACACACAGGCATGTGTTCAAGCAATTCATGTCGCCTTGGCCACTTTTGCACAACTGTTTTTTTATTGTTCGTATTTTTTTGTTTCATGATCATTTGCACACCTTTCACATCACAAGGCCCCCAAGGTTGAAATGCTGAATTATTTCTTTCATTGTGTGTAGAAATAATAGGTGCATCCGTGGCACCTCACGCGCTTGTCCTCTAGGGGTGCTACAATGCTGGACCACAAACGTAAAATCCATGCCTTGTGTTTGTGCTTCTCACCCTAGTACAAGTTGCTTTTGCATTTCAGCTCAGTTATTTGAGATCTGAATGCGCCCCTAAGAGGCACTCCTTGGGTAGTTGAGCTTTTTGTTCGTTGCACATTTTTATTTTGCCTCCATAATGTTGCATGCCAGCATTGTCGAGGCGTTCCAATCAACTTCCACACGAGAACATGGCTAGATGCTCCAAAATAGTACAACCTAATGCATTAAAAGCAATATATTGTACACATGTGTGAGATGCATCACTAGCCATTCTCCATAGTCCGACCATTGTTAGGCATAGGTCGGTGTATCAACAATGTGCACTTATAGGCTGCTGCTAGCGACGCAAGAGAAACGTTATTGCACCTCAATAAGTTCACTTGGCCATCCCATTGTCTGATTTGAAAGGGTAGGGCCAATCACCATTTGAGTCAAATGGTTTGACCATAGAACATGAAAATGAGTTGCCAATGTGTCGCAGTTGTCATGTGCCCATGCTATCTCTTGTCGATGCTATGTGTGAGTGGTCGTCTCTTTCGTCACACGTTTGAAGCTTGCAACTTCCATAGAGACAACAATACACTTGCCAAAACACCCTCGACACGGCCACTTTGCAATGGCTTGCACTTGTGTCTATTGAATGCATGGGTTTATATCCAAGTGGTTTGCAATGCAACAACCTCAACTGCCACACCTTGATACATAACATGTTATGGGAACAACATATGCCCAGTCATTCAGAGTCCTGACTGGTGTAAGAGGCCCATTCCACTTGGTGAATAGTTAGCCATCGGTGTATCAATTGTGTAAAGTCAGGAATGCTGGGAATTGGAAAGCTGAGTTGCCTGAAATACAAATGTGCGACTTGCTTCCCTTTGAAGCGGCGTTCAATAAAAGGGTGACAGGGTTGCTCTTCAATCCTCTCTTGTCTGATGTAGTAATCTGCCCAATTTGTAATAGAAACACCAAGTGGTCACGTTTTGCACTCCCATTCAGCCAATATATTTGAAATCGGAGCAGCACAGCATCAAACCTGCTAGTTTGGTAACATCATGCATTTTATTGCTGTGATGCTAGCTTCTATCCCCCTAGTCCAACTGGTTGGATTGGTGGATTCATTGGTGCCTTACACATTGGCCTCATTGATTGTATTCAGGGGCCCATTGTGAAACAAACAGAATTCTGCTCATGGGGTTGCACCATTGGCCTTGGTAAAAGGTAGTCAAGCAATACAATAAGTAGCTCAATGTCAGTCACTCGCTCACACACAATTGGTCCAAAACAAGAGTGCCCTAAATGGGCGACATCTCCAAGCGAA